CTGGCTCAATATCAAAACAACTTGGGGAGGCTGGGTGAGGTGGCTCACACTTTTAATCCTAGCACTTTGGGAGGCTGAGTTGGGAGGATCACTTGAACCCACAAGTTCAAGACCAGTCTGGGTAACATAGTGAGACCTCATCTCTACAAAATAAGCTAGGTATGGTGGCACTCACCTGCAATCTAAGCTACTTGGGAGGCTGAGGCAGAAGGATTACCTGAGCTCAGGAAGTCGAGGCTGCCATGAGCTGGATTGCTCCGTTGCGCTCCAGCCTAGGTGACAGAATGAGACCCTGAAACAAAAACAAAACAAAATAACCTGGGGAGTGTTCAACATATCTGGGTTTCTACCATGAAGGTCTTTATTGAGATAGGTATGGGCCTTGATATCTGTAGTTTTATAGTTATCAGAGTAAATCTGAGTACTACCAAGGCTACAGATTAATGAGTGGGGTCAGGTGTCAGCAGCTATGACCTACTGACCAAATCTGGCCTGCTGCCTGTTTTTGTGTAGTCCATGAGCTAAGAATAGTTTCTACACTTTTATTTATTTATTTTTATTTTTATTATTATTATTATTTTTGAGTTGGAGTCTCACTCTGTTGCCCAGGCTGGAGTGCAATGGCACACTTACAGCCACCCCAGCGTCAACCTGCTGGGCTCCGGCAATCCTTCCACCTGAGCTTTCCAAGTAGTTGGAACTACAGGCGTACACTACCACACCCAGATAATTTTTTTGATTTATTGTAGAGACGAGGTCTTGCCAAGTTGTCTGGGCTAGTCTCGAACCAGCAGGCTCAGGAAATTCCCTCTTCTTATTCCTAAAGTCATGCTTGTCCTTTCATTTTCCCCCTCCCAAAGTGCTGGGATTACAGGCTGAGCCACCGAGCCCTGCCAGTTTCTACACTTTTAAATGACTGAAAAAACAATCACAAGAAGGATAATATTTTGTGACACATGAAAAGTATAGGAAATGTAAATGTCAGTGTTCATGATTCAAATGTTACTGGACCACAGCCATGCCATCTGTATACATATCATAGTCTGGGACAGCTCTCCGCTACCACGACAGAGCTGAGCGGTTGTAACAGAGGCTGTGGAGCCCATGACACCTCTGCTTGTCGCTGTATGACCTTTCTAGAAAAACGTTTGCTGACCCCGAGTTAGGCAAAGTTAGGTCATCCACAGAGCTGGTTTAGAACTGAAAAAGGAGGCACAGGTGTGTGTAACTTTTGTGTTGGCATTTTAATTTCCTGTCGGTGACCTGCACTGACCAGGGAAGGGTTAGGACCGCACCGGTGAATCAGAACGGAGAGAAGAAAACTACTCGGAGGCAGCTCTTCTGGGAACAGTCTGGCCAAGACTGAAGCCGATTTTATTCAAACCTTTTCCAACTTATATACCATTTTCTATACCCTCCAGCAATGTGATAATCACTCACTGGGGGCGTACAAGTTTCGTGCTTTACAAACTATGCATCACAAGACCACCACGAGATCTGCAATTTCCAAGCAAACAATTCAAATTCCATGATGCCTGCCGTGCTTACATCAAGGTCACAGGTGCACAATTTCAATACAAATCGTTCAAAGTGTTTTCCATAATGTTCAATGAATCATTCATATTATACTCTTTGCTCTATACCCTGATTAATACAAAAAACTTTCCTGAGTTAACTCTAGGTTCAATCCAAGTTCACTGATTCCCAATATTTTTAACAATTAATATTATCAACTTAACACTATACTATTAACCTATTACAATTTAACATAACGCCTTATAACTCAGTTAAAACTTATTCTTAAACTACAAAACTTTACTATAATTCATGTTTCATATGTCTAAACTTTAATTTTCATATGATCTGGTTATTGGACTTTAATACTATGCTATATCCTATTAAGCTAATACCTTATCGTTAATTCTTTTATAAATCATATAGTAACTATTACACTTGAATAATGTAGCAAAAGGAATCAAAACAGCAAGCATAGATTTACGCAGCTATGAGTGTATATGTATATATTTTATCCCAACAAGTCTACTCTAAAAATCAAATAGTAGCTGTCACACTCTTGAACAAGGAAATGCAGGGCTTCCAAGATGGCGGCCATGGGCTGAAGCAGACAGAGTTTCGGTAATTAACGAAACAAAAGAAAACGTTCTACCTGGCTAGGGGCAGGGGACAGAACTATCATGGTAATTTAGTTCCTAATCTTAGCCCTAGGGGAAACAGCTTTCGGGAACAAGGACTACCCAGTCTACCAGGAAATAGAAGTAAAAAAATATCTAGCAAGAAGCTAAACTTAGAAAGACAGAAACAATTCCGCCATGCACCTTCCATCAAGTGTACTGAGATTCACTTATAAGTTTTACTGCCATGTATGCACACTGGTCACCAATCACACGCCAATATCATAGGTATAACTGATATCCTATGTCAGAGGCGATCTTCCAGATGGGCCTTTACAGGCCTCAGCCATGTAGCTATAGATGTTGGCTCCCAACAATCACTGACACTTAATGTTGCAGCTTTATTCATTTATTCTAGAAATAAAATCACATTTCATGTGATTAAATCTGCAAATCATTGAGTGTGTATAAAGTTGAGTTTTCCAATTCATGAGTCCATTTATTTTTCTTTTGTTGTGAAATACCCATCTGTCTTTTGCTTACACTTTAACTGTATTTTATATTAAAGATTTATAAATCTTTCATATATATAGTGCATATGAAGGCTTTGTCAATTATTTGTATCCCAATTGTGTTTTCGTAAGCATATAATTTAATTTCAAATTATTTGAATTTAACTTTCTTATTTCTCTGAGTTCACAAATATATTTTTTAAGGTATTTTACCTTTTAAAATAAATTTATAATGGCCCTCACAGTAATGTCAGAAAATGAACTTTCAAAACCTTTACTTTGGTATTTTAAAGTGAATCACATAAAATAAAGCCATTATTGGAATTAACTAACTTTCTGTTTAACGTATCTTATGACACACTTTACACACATAAAATGAATTAAATGGTTTTAAATATTTTTTGTCTATGACAACAGTTTTCAAAAGATGTATGAGCAGCCAAGAGATAAATGAAAAAATGTTCACCCTCACTAGTCGTCAAAGATATGCAAATTAAAGCTACACTGAGATACCACCTACCACCTACTTCCAGTCAGAGTGGCCATC